TTCCAATATTTTCTACAACTTCTGGTCGCATTCCTTTCCAACTGCATAAATTTTTGAGGCCTTTAGCGACAGCGTTTCGTTCTGTAGCGCAATAGAAAACTGTTTTTGATTCACAATGATGAAATTTGATACAACAGGCTGTTGTATGAACTCTGAGCACAATGCTGAAAAATAATTGCCTTTCAGATTCTGGAATTAATAAATCGAGAATTTCGTTTCCAAGCGCTACGAGCGCTAATACCGCTGGCAGAATGCCTTGCACCAACATTGGATACTCATGAAACATCAGCAGCTGGGGCTCATTCCGTGACCCAAATGACAGTCCTAATGCGGGCTAAAGGTCTTCTGGATGACATTGTCCGATCTGAATAGACGCTACACTTTTCTTAATTTAGCCCAGATTCCGGATCTGAGCACTAATTACCTTCCTCGAACTGACAAAATGGATTTCTGACTATTTCTACAAGTGTTTGCTGTATTCATTCACCATACATATCCTACAAATGTTTTCTTTTCTGAAGTGTTTCTGAAACATTTGATCTCGTCATTAGATAGACTGATACTCGCTGCTGAAATTGAAAAATTGCTCTTATGGTTATGCGGTGTCGCTACCAGAGGAGAGATCAAAGAAGGCAGTTGTTTGTTCTCTTCAATGAGCAAGCCATAAATACTCGCTTTTTTTCGCAAAGAATTTTAGTATACTGGTATATTTTGTGCGATATGTCTTTTATTACCACATTGATAATTAATGAATAAAAAATTCTTTACGTTATTTTGATACTTTCATTAGCTTTATTATCGTCATCGAGTATCTTCTCGCCATTGGTGCAATTGTTGTCGCGAAAGCCAAGTTTTTCCAACCTTGTCATCTTGAGGTTAGAAAAACCCCGCGGAAAATCAGTTTAGATTAAGGCTTCCTTAAGCTGTCTGTAATCAAAGCCATGTAATTTGCTTGGATTTTGGTATTCCACGCTCTGGTGCAGTTGTAGTGCGTTTGTAATTCTAAGCAGTGTCATTGACAATACTGCGTGAAACAAAGAAATGCATGAAAACATCCATGAATTGTTGGTTTTATCAAAACAACATGCAAATTGGTTGTACGGATTACACTCAGCACTGAACTGTCGTTTAGTTATGACAATTTTCTGA